AATAGCAGTCTAAATTGACACAATGTGTCGCCCCATTTTCAATAAATATGCAACCATCGAGATGTACCAATTTGGATGCAAAGATATCTTCTGGATTTGTCAGTGCTGCTCATGTTAGTTGATAGAATGTCCAATTTTTTTCATATATTCGTAAAATATTCGAGAATATTTTAATTGTGGTTGTGTGTACAGTACATGTTTGAATTGCGAAACCCTTATCACGAAAATGAACACATCGAAAAATATTCAATAACGAATCAAATCAAAAGGTCATTTTAAAAGTTAAAAAAAATTGTTTACCAGTCTAGGTGTTAACACCGTTACATACTTGATGTCTTATGCCACAAATCAGACAAATGTGTTATTTAACAATCTAGTATACCGAGCTAAATTTACGTGAAATAATAATCAGAATACAGAAATAGCAAATGAAAAATATAAAAAGAAGAAAAATTGCGCAACAACTCATATACGTACCACCTACACATGTTGTATTTGTCGTATCCGGTCGATATCCATCAGCGCACTCGCAAAATCTCGCACGACAGACATAGGCATACGATCGTCGACAATCGCTTGCAAATTGACACAGCGCTTTGAACTCTATAATAAAGGAAAATATATATTCAGATGAGAGAAAAACAAATCAAATTAATTCTCTCATTTTAATTCAATATTTGTTAGGCTTTCTTAGGCAACGCTGCGCTTTTTTATAATCTCAATTTAAATATGCAGACAAACAAAACAGTTCAGAACTAAAGAAAAAAAACAAAGACGTTATATTGACTTTATTTCATAAAAATCTCTTTTATCTGTTTACATTTTTCAAAATGACTTCTAATTTAAAAAACAAAAGCCAATCACATGATGCAAAGTGATATGCATAAGCATTATTTCACATCATTTCTTATTAAAAAAAGACGACGAACGAAACATTTCTCTACATTTCATTACAATTTTATGTTATTTGAATATTTGCTTGTTCGGTGTATTTTCGAGTGGCATTAGTCAAGAAATGAAATCTTCAAACAGAGTTTCACTCAGCGCTGCTGCCATCCAGAGCATATAAACATCCATAAGATATATGCTTGCTGAGAATGGGACATTTCGATTGTGTGACAATTATAACGAGAAAAGAAAATAAGAGTTTTTGATTTTCTGGATAAAATCTCGGTATTACACTTATGTGTATGCCCCATTCTCATTAAGCACATATCTTCATATCAAGTGATGTATATGATCTGAATGGCAGCAGCGCTGAGTGAAACTCTGTCTTCAAACGAGCCCATCCTCCCCGGAGCAACGGCCATAGGAGCACCGGATAATGAATATATGTGAATATATTGCTAGATATATTGCTAATAAAACACACTAATCTCGATTAATGCCCGCAAATTTTAAATGAACATATTTCAAACGACAAAACAAAATCGACAGCAAAAGAAAATAATTTCAATAATCCAATAGTAAATGTTCATATTTAGCAGTGAATACATTGCGCTAAGATATTGGTTTGTCCTATGCAGTAGCTCCTATGCAGGAACTCATTAGCTGCTTCGTTTCAGCTAAGAGCAGAGCTGCTCTTTGACTCTGTGTGTATAGTGTGTCACACAGAGTTGAAGAGCAGCTCTGCTCTTAGCTGAAAAGTAGCGCCTACTGAGTAGGAGCTACTGCATAGGACCAACTAATATCTTAGCACAACACTGACAGTAGAAACCGGAAACATAACCCGTTTTTACTCCATTTCAGAGCAATAATAGAATCATACTAAATCTAGTACAATTTTGTTGGTTTTTCACTGTTTTAGTATAAAAGTCATTTTTGAAATTCAAAGTACAGTGAAAAAACCAACAAAATTGTACTAGATTTAGTATGATTCTATTATTGCTCTGAAATGGAGTAAAAACAGGTTATGTTTCCCGCTTTCTACTGTCAGTGAATGTATTCACTGATATTTAGAATGTCTTTACAACGAAAATATATGTTAATATATATCAAAAAAAAAAAATTTAACGATGAAAAATGCTTCATTTTACATTCGTTTTCAGGATTGTAGAGTTTCTTTTTTTCCGAATATCTTGGGCGAAAATATCCGGTTCTGTCGTTTTTTTTTTGTTGGATATTATAATAAAATCGAATGAAATCGTTTGAGGTTTAAAACAACCAACAACCAAAATCATTTAATCGATGCTTTTAAAAATTAAATGCGCTGAACGAAGTTTTCATTTGGTTTTTCCCCCCAACAATATAGAATGGCAACGTTTATTTCCGATGGAAACCGAATCAAAAGTGATTTCAATTTATCCAGCGATTTTTTTTTTGTGTGGTGTTGGTGTACTTCGTTTTCGCATGGTCAATTATATATCTTAACATTAATAAATGGCTGTTTTCGGTTTTAATTTTACAACGAGTCCATTAATAACAATTTTCAAACAACTTTAAATTAATTATTCCGATTAAACCTTGAAAAATCGTTATTGAGATGTGGAGTGACGACGACGACGACGATCAACAAGCAAAATATCAACATAAACAATTTGAATAACGGTGCAGAGTGAGCAAGAATCAAACGCACTCACTCACCCTCTGACTATTATCGTTCTACATTACTGGGACGCGTGCAATATACAAAGAGTTGGTGGTATTGTGAGTATTGCCAGTTCTTTCCCTTTTTTTTATCAACAACAAAAAATGGGACTATCTGTGCTTGAAAAATGGTTGGAACATAAATCGTTTATGGCAAAATACGGACAGGTAATAAAATTACAATCATCATCACATCGATAACTGCTGACGAGCGAAACGAATGCAATGCAACAGTGAGATGGTAAAATGGTGCGCAACAGTATAACCAAAATGGGATGCGGGTGTGGAAGTGGTCGACGTGAATCGTGAATGGCTAATGGATGCTGTCAGTGAAAAAGTGCGAAACCAACAACAAAACCAGTCACTATATAACATTAACAAGGCAGCAACGAACAAAATTAATAAAATACACACATTTTTTACAATGTAATTCAAGCGATGGAATATCGAAGCGTTGCTTATAGTAAACTTGACGATCACAAATAAACGGAAATTGCATAAAAAAAACCGAAACACTATTAACATTCAAAAAGCTACAACAACAACCAAAATTACTTACCTTTTAAAACCTGATAATCTTTGGATATTTTTTCATCATTCGTTGCCAAAACATTTTCAAGATTTATTACCTCATGTTCATTATCTAATTTAGATGACACAGTACCATTAATTACTATCAACAGCGCATAAATGCCAACCCACATTAGCAATTCCATCTCGTTTTTTTATGTATGAATTTTTGGTTTTGTCGTCGTTTTTTTCTTTCTTAAATTTTTTCCCCTTATTATCGGTTATTTCTTGGTAAGTCGTCAAACGAAACACGAAAACCAAAGAAGAAAAGCAACAACAATGATAAAGATAAAAAACGGCCGTAGCATATAGCACTGAGACAGTGGTTTTTGTCTGCACTTAAGAATACTAGAACAATAAAGCGTAAAATCCTACGATAGAAGAAAACATGAGGATCCGCTCGTTCGTTTGTTTTGCTTTGAAATGGTTAAAGGAAAATCTCGGATAAATATTCTTTCACTCTACTAACAGTAGCAGCAGCAGCACAACGAAATTTGAACGAAGAAGGAAAAAAAATGTTTGAAATAAGTTTTAAAGTGCACAAAATAAGTAGCTAAAGGAGTTAGCGCAGCAACGATGTTTACCGTCGGAAACTGTTCAAAGTACTGAATAATGGACGAGTAAAAAAAAAATTCGTTGTCTCGTGTATGAAACATGCAGCCGTATCTAAAACGTAATTGCTTTTGATGCGTAATTTAATAAATCGACTTTTAGTCGACCGACTAAGGCAAAAAAAAGAAAAAGAGAATGAGCTGACAAAGGCGACAAGCTGATAAAAAACTTGTTTATCTCTGGTTCTCTTACACTGGCGCATATACATATCCCTTTTACTCTTGCTCGGTACTAGGCTAATCCCGTACTTATTGAACTTTCAATATGGTCTCAGGCAAGTCAACTGAACTTAATCAGTTTTAGCAGTGGCGTGAATTAACAAATAACCCAATGGATTTCATTTTCACTCGTTTCACAAATTCTAAAAAGCATGACTAACCCATTTTCGATACAATAAAAATGAGTTTAATACGTATTTATTTACGTATACGGCACATCGGCCATTCAACCTGAAGTTTTGCCTGCGTTTAGCATATCACACAAGAATTCAATAGGTTACATACAAAATGAAAAAGCAAAAATAACTAGCAAACGATATTCGTACTTTTTCGCTGCATATCCATTGAAAGTTGAACAATCAAAATGCCAAAGCTTTTGGGGTTTTGAACTTAATTCTTAATGAATGGCATAAGTTAAAAACGAAGCACTTTTGATCCGTTCGATTTGCAGAAATGTGAACATACAGTGTTGTATCCAGGCTGGACGTGGAAAAGAAAAAAATAACGGTAAAAAAATTACGCACAGTTCAAAGATCAATCGAATAAAATGGTATCGATGGTAACGACTGTAACGATGGAAACGTTTGTAAACTTTATCCATGGTATCCGTTTGTATAACGTCCTTTCAACTCAAACGGTACATGTGTATAACGAAGGTTCTTTTACCGTATCAAATATTTGTTGTTTTTATTTCAAACGTGCTATTTGCAAACAAATGAAAAGAGTTTTAACCGTAAACGACCAAAACAAAAGAAACATCAAGTGGCTAATTAAATTGCATAAATAATTTTTTTTCTCGTTCTCAGAGTGCAAGAGAAGCAACAACAAAAGAAACAAATTGAACAAAAAAAATGTATACATACAAAATGGCTTTGAAAGCGGAAATGGTTTGCGTTTTCTAAAGTTTCCATATCTTGAACTTCGTTTTGTGTTTACTTTTTTGTCCGAAAGTTTTTTTAAAAATATAATTTAGTTTGCATTGGCCCAGCAAGTGGCTCTCGACCACTTGCAGTCATGGCTCATTTGCCACAAATCGATTTTCGCTACCGTTGGCTAAGTGAAACCATTTCGAATGCACTCGGTATTATTGATACAAGTTTTGCCGAGCAATTAATTGCCGAGCACAGCGATTTAGTTGACGCATTTTTCAATGACAATATATATGAAGAAGCCGATGCTCGAAAGCAAATTCTCTTCGTTTGGCGAACATTTTACGATAAGCTGGTGGAAGAATCAATAACCGTACTGGAAGAAGGTAAGTGAAACAATTTAATTATCTGTGATCTGTGTGCTTGCCACAATCGGAAAACGGTTCAATTTTATAAATGTGTGTCACATTAATTTAAATATGGGAATTCAGTTGCGCCTCCAATATTGCCACAGGAGCCGATTAGAAAGAAAGGCAAAACCAAAGGTACAAAACTATTTTCGACATTTTCAGTTTGTATGCATATAATAATAATTCAACTCTCTGCTCGGGGTATTTTTTCGGTTTGTTTGTTTGTTGTTGCTCTGGGTGCGGTTTTTACCACATTTTCAAACCGATGCCGATACACACGGTACAAACATCCAACAATTTGTCCAACCACATTCGTTCAACAACGACGATTGCGGTAAAACGATGAAAATTTGCGCGTATCCATACGCATATTAAATACAGGTAAAAAAACAAAAGACACTGACGCAACAGATGCTGATGGCTCTCGACCGAACTCAGTTGGAGGTATGTTTTTCGGGATTTTACACTTTCAATTCAACTGAATTTTATAATATATTAAAATTGTTGAACAAAATAATAACTCATTTCATTTGAATTTTTAATCAATTCAAACGCTTAAATGGTTGGTAATATGTCGATTTTCTCTTGTCTCTTTTGCACACTATCTCACTATCTCTCAACCTGGTGTATGAATGTGCTTTCAGGTTTTTCGGATGAAGAAACTGAAGGTAAAAATACATGCATCCTACCTACTAACACATATATAAATACATACCTATGCACATTTAAATACTGAATTTCACCGTTGCTCATTTATTGTAATAATAACTTCGGTATTCACTATTTCTGCTTGTGATTTATGGTCCAACATTGGCCGTTTCATTTTGGTATTGACGATATATTATGGGCGCACACACACACACAGGCAAGAGAAAGGGTAAAGGGAAAAAGAAGAAAAAACCGCCTAGTCGACCGCCATCACCAGTTTACATTGAAGTTCAGGTAAGCAAATAATTTTGGCTCAATTGGAAAAACAAACCTTTAAAAAGTGAACGAAACTAAATGTACGGCTAATTGAAAAACTTTGAAAATTTATTTGCCATCAAATTACAAAGTGTTTTCGCTATGCGTTTACATAAATTTAACTTTGGCATGTTTGGAAGAGAAATATCCGGGACTATATTATATTGAAAACTGCCACACGGCTACTGGCATTAAGCCACAATGCACAAATGTATGCCAAAGCACTTTGGCATAATGGAACCTTTTGCTTCGCTACTGATTTTCTATTTATCCTTTCTCTTCCGTCGCTGTTCCTTCACAGCGTCATTCCACAAAGCAAAAGCGTTCCGCAATGCTCGTTTGCCGGCCTCACTTCTAAGTGGCGACGAGTGGCAATGTCGAAATCTCTCTAGGATTTCACATTTGAAAGTTGGGCACATGAAATTGGCCAAACATAAAGTCAATGACTATGACACGAAGAAAATAAATACGAAGACGATTATGAAGAGCAGTGCATATCGTGTACATTATTTAAATAAGTTTTCATTTTCATTTTCAGAAAATTATTCAATCGTACGTGAAGACGCCGATTTTGCATTGTTATTTCGGTACATTGCATCCAGCCGATATTGATCCTAAGGCAAAATATGTGTATTTCTTGCGAAGAAATACCGCAAAAATTGGTATTTAATAAAAACAAAGTTTTCCGCGTGCTCACACAAACTTTAAACATAGTTTTATTAATTATTATTTGTGTGTTTTGTTTCTATCTTTTTTTTTCTGGGTGGCGAAAATATTCAATGTATGCTGAATATGGTACAGAGATGCAAGAAACATACGAACAATGTTTGGTTGAAGTACCGAAAAGATTTATCACGGGATCGGTGAACGGTCAATTTATCGATTCAATGAAGAAACTTGCACAAGAAATAATCCCACTTGCACTCAATAATCAATTTCAAGAACCAAAAATTACAAACAGCATTTCACTTGAACTTGAGCACCGTGACGATGAAGACGAAATGAACACTAATCAAAATATTGAGCATTCAATCGATTCCACATACACATCACGTCCCTCCGATTTTCGCATCAAGCCAATTTGCAAAAGTATGACTACTGAATTTGTCGAACATCATGAACAGCAAAATTTTGAACACATCATCGACCAGCATCGCATAGACGCCCATGCCACAGAGACCGCTTCACCAAAATCGATACGTAAACTTTTTGACGACTTTATTGCTGATTTCAATGCATCAGTCGAACGGTATTGTGAAACTGAAATCGCATATAAACTCTTCTCTCTACTCGAATTTTTCTTCTTCTTAATTCTTCATTGAACTTCATAGAAAATGCCGATTTTGAGCTCTTTCCATCTTTCGGTGATTTATTTTACTTTTTCTCATTTTACTGTTAGAAATCTATCGTTTACTGTGACTGGTGAGTTCAATTTGTTTTTCACCGCATACAATGCGCCCGGTCAAGAAAATATCACTGACGAAGATGACAAGGAAAAAATTATGGTCGAACCGATAATTGAATCGATTGAAAAGTGCACCAAAGAACAATTGGAGGATATCATAAACGGTTGGATGCGATACATAACAAAAGTTTTTAGGTTCTACGAGCAAAAGGTATTTGAGAATGTTGTTTTTGTTAAATCTGATAGCGAATTGGTTGCATCAACCGAATTTTGAGCTCACAAAACCTTCAAATATTTTTTAATGTTTTCTTTCAATCAACTGTCAACTGTCAAACAGTAAACAACACTTTTTCTTAGCTCCGTAGT